CGAAACAGAGTCCAATTTCATGATTGACTCTATGTTTCTAACAAGTTAAACGAGATTTCAAATGAAAATTGATCCTCCGACTCACTATCTAGCAGGATGACATTTTTGCAGTAGTCTCAAACGAAAATATAAGAGCAAGAGTAACAAAAAAGAGGGGAAAGAGTGTGACGATGTTTGTCGGAGTTCAGAAAGAAGCCTGAATATACTTGCCGAAGAAAAAGGGTAAGGAATAAGAAAAAATCAGACACAGGAGTGAAAGATAGAGTCTATATTTGGCACGAAATACAGAAGGTTGAGTTTCCAAATTTGTAAAGGCTATCATTATGATGACCCTATCTATGAATTCCGTGTTGAAATTATGGAGTGTGGCTTGAGGAAGTTTAGAAGGGTTGACGATTTTACCAACGAGGGTGTGGCTGGCACGTCTACCTAATAGGCAATCATGACTTCTCGTCCCATCCATCACCTGTACTTAACATGATTGATTCAAATTGCAGAGATTTAAGGGTTTGTATTCTTGTGAGCTCTTTAGAAGGGCTGACGATTTTACCATCAAGAGTGTGACACGTCTACCTAATAAGCAATCATGACTTCTTATTCATCACTTGTTCTCCGACATGATTGATTGAGATGTACGTAATCCAAATTACAAGGATTGACAAGAAAGCCAATAATAGTACGATGATGCTCCTTAGGAAGATACTAGACTTAGGGATGAGGCCCTTCATCTGTATACTCGCGAGCACTAACTCACTCACGAGTAAGAAGTCCAATGATGCTGGATTGCGCACCTTCCAAATGGTGTTGTCAATCGAGGAGACTCGTCTATACGCTACGTCTCGCATCCAATGACACAATGATGGAACCTCGCCACATCATTATGTGCACCACCCTAAGTCTATTATTAAACCTAATTCCCTTCAAATTATTCATTTCGCTCACAATTTAAACGCTCAATCCAAAGACCTTGCCCAAAATTCCCCCTCTACTGAAAAAGGAATCCAAACATATTCCCGCCAAAAAATTCTTGCGCCACCGTGCACCACCACCTGATATCATTCAATAAACCAAACATACATCACTAATTTTCTCAAACGAAAGAAAAAAAAATTAAAAAAAAAAATAAAAAACAATGCCAGTGATTAGATTTCCAACTTAACATTGGATGGTCATTCAATAACCAAACATAGATCACCAATTTTCTCAAACGAAAGAAAAAATAACAATGCCAATGCAAGCTATTAGATTTTCAACTTAACAACAGATGATGGGATGTTTGTACGTGCAGGCATGTGCGTATGCCAAGAGAGGGAGGAGGAAAGGGAAACATGCATCCATTTATTTACATGAGATCAGATCAGAAACGGTAGTCCCGTCCTTGCACAACTAGAACTAGAGTGCAAATCTTTCAAGATAGTTTCCCTATCAACGTACATTTCAATCCCACTATTTCTTCCTTCTCTTTAAGCATCAAAGACTTGAGCACTGAAAGTTTGGTCAAAATCCAAAACAAAGGTTCGAATTTCCATGGGAGCAAGTTCCACGACTAGTTTAGCAGGATCCACTGCTCCTCCTCTATTTGTGGACTTGGACTTGGACTCGGGCTGCTCTTCAACCTTCCACCCCAATCTCTTTTTCTCCATTTCTGACCTTTCTTGATTCGCCGATAAGTTCATCTCTACCAGCTTCCCAATCTATAAATAAATAGAGAATATTATTAATAGGGTAACTAACCCTCAGGGTTGGTTGTGTTAACAAGAACACAGAACCTCCCATCTACCTTCTTGCCAGGGAAAAGCTTTTTCAGTTCGACTTCTGTCATCACGGAAAGATCGTTGTCCTCCTCCATCTTTTATTGCAGCGCCAAAGCCAGAACAGATTTCAATAAGATAATAGTATGAATGAAATTGTATTAATGAAGTGAATGAACGAGAGAAAGTTCTATATGCTAAATCACGTTCCTTGTTATTCATGAGAGATTACAACCTCGTATAGATGTGCTAAGCGGACAAGAACCTTTCTATTGTCCAGCTCCTGCATTTTTAGAAAGTAAAAGGTGTATCTCAAAAGAAATGCTGAAAAAATGAGGATTCAACTGCATAATTTCTGCACCGTCCCCATAGTAATAGAATTGACCGTACAAATCTAAACCTCACAAGAAGTATTTCTTATAGCTTCCTTTTCCTTTCTTGAAAAAATTAATAAACAAATAAATGATATTCATGTAACAAGGATAGGTCAAAATCACCTGTAATGTTATAATAGCTACATTATCAGGCAAACTGTACGAGTCGATCGCCGAGAAGGTAGGTACATGAGAGCTCATCCAATTATCTTCAACCTGAGGAAGAACTTCATGCTTAAGCAACACTGAAATAAAGTAGGAAACTTTGACACTAATTTCCATACCTCTTCAGTGAAGGCCAAAAGAAAAGGAGAATATATCTCTTGGCCAGTTGTACGGCGCCACTTTGCACCCTCTCCAAGCGGGTCTATTCTGTAATAATATTTTCCTTGGATCTACAAATGAACTAGAGCAGTCAGTATTGGTAATAATGAAATTGGAGTGAAGCAATACTTATACTAACAGACTGGGGCGGACGCAGAGCTTTAAAATTAGGGGGGCAAAATCGAACTTGTAAAGAATTTGAAAGAAATTTTACAATCGAAAATTTACATCCAAAAAAATCATACCCCGTATAATTTTGCATCTGAAAATTTACATGGGATATAACTTTTTCGAATGTAAAATTTTGAAAATTTTTGATGTTATATTTCATATAAAAGTTTCTAATAAAATGATAAAAATTAAATCGAGAAATTTGTATCACAAAAATAATAAATGTTAATGAAATAGTT